CAACGTGTTATGCTTGTTTGGCTTTCGCTTCGGCCGCCACCATGTGGTGCCCTTTCGGCTCCACTTTAGGGCTTACGATTTGTGTCTCACACCAAGGCCTTCAAACTCAAATCCCACTCCATACAAACTATAGGTGAAAATGAGAAGTTTTTGACACTACACATTAATGATGATCTAAATGTCATTTTCATGTTCTTCAACACATGTGTCAATGCATATTTGGAAGGGATCACAAAGGGGTGGTTGCTAAATAAGTCTAGAAGTAAAACAACACTATAGCCAGCTTTATTTCATATGATATATAGTTTAAAAGTATAATAAAATTTTTAGGATCTTTCCTAAATATATTATCTTCTTTGATATAAAGGTGTGCCATTTGAGACACCAATTTACACTTGACTTATTGCAAAGGGTATAAACGATAGAAGAATATATTTAATAATATTTATAAGAGTTTAAAAGGCATGATAGATAGATTGTGTTTGAGAATTAGAATGCCTTGGGAAAGAGACCTTTACATTAGACTAGGAAGAAGTTATTAATGCTGGTAATGATGGTGATGTCAACAATGATGAAAATGAGGATGAGGAAGCTCTAAATTAAACCTATATTCCACTATCAGATAACTAAAATCAGGCATTAGTTCCATCACTAGATGGTTAAAATCTGGAATAAGTTCCACCAATAAATAACAATAATCGAAAAGTTCAAAAAATATTATATCAATTTTAAAACTTACTTTTACAAACCAAAAGGGGACATATGTGTTTTATAGCAATGATTTTTTATAGTAGTTTCATTCATGTTTGACGAGATGCTTATGATGAGGAGTTAAAAGAACTCTCATTAATAATATACTATATAATAATAGTATTTTATTTATTATTTTTTCATTCACTTAGCTTTTTTATAGATTTGCTTTGTTTCCCCAATAGCACACCAAAGCACTATGGGTGTCTTTAGTGGCCTTTTATAATAGATTGTTGACATCTTTCATGACAATGACATACATATAGATATATAACACTAGTTTAACTGTTCGTGTTGAAAGATACAAAAAACTTTGCTCAGACTTCATTTTCTTCAACTTTCTAGATAGTTTTTCATATATTAATGGGAAAGTTGAGAATTAGACCAATGACAACATGCATGATACATATCTTTTTGTCAAAAATACTTCTACTTGAAGTTAGCCATATCATTTTCCTTCTGCTAAATAACCCCAACTTAATGTATAAATTTATAATGTATGCAATGAAAGTTCATTTTAAATCATTCTCTCCAAGTGCATTATGGATCTTGGTGGTGTCAGTGTTAGGCAAGCCTGAAAAATAAGTAGGTATTTTATATTTTATAAAACTTCTAAACTATTTATTTTCTAAGTTATGATGTACAAAAACATGCATGATAGATTTCTTGATAGCAAGCATATAGGATACATTTTGCCTAGGTGTGATAGTTTCATTAATATCATACCCAACTTTGTAAATAAGCAAATTTATTACATGTTTCTTGGGTATTGATTTTAAACTCTATTAGCAATACAAGTCCCATTTTAACTCTATTACCCATAAAATGGTGTTGTGATTAATTACATCTATTTTGTAGATTATAGTCATCTAGAATTTCTAAAGTTGGAAGCTTTGGAAGTTTTCTTAAATATATGGTATAAGTCTTCCCCACAATCCCAATATAAAAGGAGGCATAAAAAGAATTGATGATGATGCAGAAAAAAGTTATTATAAGTAACTAAAGGGATTGGATGCACTTTTATTTATGGGCTGTTTTCTTCAGTATTTAATGGGTAGACTCTTATTTATGGGCTCTTTCTTTCTATATTTAAATCTTAATAAATTATATATTAAATCTCTTTTATAATCAAGTCTTGGGATACTTAGATCTTATTGCGTAAGGATTGAGTGGCAAAATACCATATCTCATTTGAGCATCACATTGAACAACTGCTAGGCTACATCATGATTGCCACTCAACTACCAAGACCATTGAGTTCCACAACATGAGATTCCACTGCTCCACCTCATAATCAAAGATGGTCTTGGCCTTGATGATGCAATCATTGTCACTGTAGGCCACCAGGATCGTGTTCTAGAGCATGGTGCTCACCAAAGGAGTGGAATCCAAAATAACTTGCACTCAATTGACATTGCCATGAGTAGAGATTAGAGCATTCACAGACATGAGATCCCACTCAGGCATCTCGAGAAAGAGCTTCTCCGCCTTCTCGATAGATCCATTGTGAGCAAATCCTGCAATGAGAGAGTTCCACAACACTAGATTTTTCTCTAGTATCGTGTCCTCAACTTTTCCATATTCCTGACTTGGGCATTTACATGACCCATAGCAGTCCAGGTTGCTAAATTCCATTTAGTTGCAAAAACATTCTCGGCATCTATCAAACTAGGTATTGTTTTTGTAGCATTGCGGTCCAAGAGATCACATCTTTCTCGGGCATGGTATCAAAGAGAAGCTTCAATTAATGCAAATGCACGTTCTGCGCATATGCTGTGAGCATCGCGTTCCAGCAAAGGAGATTCTGGGCAAGGCACGATCAAACACCTGCTTAGCGGAATCCCCGTCGCCCTCTTGGCCATAGGCGACGATCATGATCGTTGCCGCGACAGCGTTTTTGATCGGTATCCCCGCGAAGATCTTCTTTACGAGGCAAGGCTCTCCACGAATTTCTTGAGGTTCGTGTGAGAAGAACCTCCGGGAGAAGCAGCCTTGACAGCCAATTCTCGAATCTCCATCGCCCTGGCTTTCAATCTCCTGCCTTGCTCTCCCTCCATGATCGCCCTCACTTTCTCTTCCACCTCTTCTCTCGGCGCAAATCCATCCTTCCCTCCAGATCTCGAGAATGCCACTCCCACGCCCTCGCCTTCCAGCACCAGCTTGGCATTCGTGTTTTGCTCAAACATAGATGGCCACCCCAGCATTGGCACTCCACACGCCAAGCTCTCAAGCATGGAGTTCCATCCGCAGTGAGTGAGAAAAGCCCCTGTTGCTTCGTGCTGCAAGATCTCTAGCTGCGGCGCCCATCTCACGAACAATCCTCTCCCGCCAGTCCTGCTCACGAAACCTTTGTAGAACTCCTCGTCCATGCCAAGAACAGAGTTTGATCGTATCACCCAGAGGAAAGAAACCTTGCTTGCCTCCAATCCCAGCGCGATCTCCTCGAATTGCTTGGCAGTCATGAAGGAGATGCTTCCAAACGAAACATAGAGGACCGAACCACGATCACGCTTGTCTAGCCATGGAAGACAAGATTCATCCGGAGTTCTCAGGTTTACCTCTTGCAATCCAGTCGAATCGATCGCCTCTCCCTTGAGAGGAAACAATGGTCCAACCGGCACGAAATTCTCCCCGAATCCTTCCCTCATCGCTTCGAAAATTCGCGGCTCGATGTCGTGGACAGAGTTTATCAGAAACCAAGAATCCAGTGCGATCCTCTTGGAGCGATACAGTGATTGTTCTTCCCCGTTCTTCTCGAATTCTCCGTCGTGCATGAAGAGTGGAATGTCTTGCGATCTTAGCTCCATTCCAGGGATGTAAGAAATCAGCTTTTCATCTCCCGCTGGCACCATAGAAATCCCAAGTTTTCTTAGAACACACTTCTAGATCAATCAAAGCTTCACCTTTGACAGGAACGTCTCCCATCTCCAGGAGCTTTGGAACGTGGAATTCGATGGCAGCCCAAGCAGCGTTTCCCGGCCAAAAGCTCGCTCCAGCCAATCCAGCCTTCTTTGCAGCGTGTGGAGCACTGAGATGGTAAAAGTCCGAGACGACACACGCGACTCTGGGGCCGTCTCGATCGATCCGGGACAAGAGCTCCGCGAGTGGATCCTCCATTCGGAAGATGGCCTCGCAGAAGGCGGCCTGCGCGTCGAAGTTCTTCTCGTCGAAGCCATTGGGAACTCGCAAGTCCATAGAGATGGACTCGAGGCGAATGTTGTGGCCATTACTCACAGGATTGTCCTCTCTCTTCCAGGATTGCTGCAAGGTTTCGTGGATGCTATCAACGTTGATGATGGTCACAGTGACTCCGAGGAGCGCGAGCTTCCGGGCGAGATAGATGATTGGAACGACATGTCCCTGTGCTGGAACTGGGATAAGAACAACGTGAAGTTTCGAGAGAGAGCCCATGAAAAAAGAAGAAACTTTTCAAAGAGGAAGTTTTGATGGATCGTTTGATGTACCAGTACTTATGGGCTGAATTGGACATTGTTCTTTCCTCTACGTCTTGTCTTTCATTATTTGTATGATTGGAAATATGAACCATACAGTCCAAAAGATGAATATATTGGGGTAATATTTAGTGGTGAGAATTCTACGTTGTGGCTTGAAGCCTAATAGCCACATATTTGTTTTGTCCTATTGCACAAAAAAAAAAAAAAAAACTCTTTGTACAAACTGTTAAGCGCTAAAAAAATTTAAATTCAGTTTATTAAAATATTACAGTTAAATCCTATCTGTTGGAGATCAAATTCCTCACGCTCTAAGTGACGAGTGGAAGCCCTTTTAAAAACTATCAGCTTGCATTGAGGCCTTAGCATTTCCCCTCGTTCTTCACATCAAATTATCTGATGGTCAACTCTCGGTTAGGCTTGTCCTGGTCATCGTCAATAACCACTGGCAGATATTGCCCCACAACCAGAATTGTAATACGGGAGATTGGATGGAACAATTGCAATTTAAAGTCGGCCTACTTTCCAAGGACAAGTGTCTTGGAAAGCTGGCCGACTTTAAAAGGTTTTTCATAGTCCAGAGGATTGATGTATTTCAACTCCAACTCCTCCACAGGCTTTTTGGCATTGTTTTTACCATAGAAACTCACAAATCCAGAGAGAGGTTTGACAAAGATGAATCACAGCTTGGTGAGCTTGAATTGTTTTACCCAAAAACATCCATGCTCCTTTTCCCCAAGTACTTCATACTCTAGATTGTTGGTGTTGGAAGAGAATAAAATCTTCTCCACTTTCATTGGGAGTTCTACAACTAATCCTTTGCTAAACCCTATCAAACCCTAATTCTTGGAACTCAGTTTCACAAAAGGTAGCTATGTATGATCTTCTCTCTTTGTGCTTCCTTTCCACTAAAGGTCTCTTGTGGTGACTTGAGAGGTGATCGGGGAGAGGTTTCTTTCTTTGCTGGGCTGCTACGATCTGCCGGGCAATCCCACCGGGTGAAAGAAATTCACGAGATTCACGACAGGGTCTTGAGCAGCCGCCATAGCACGAATGTTTTCCTTGCCAATCTCGTCGTCCAGAGCTACGGGAGATGCGGGGACATGGAAAGGGCCAGATTGGCCTTCGATCGCATCCGCCGACCCAATGTCTTCTCGTGGACGATTATGCTCTCGGCAATTGCCCAGAATGGAACCTTGGACGACGCTCGAGCGTGGTTCGAAATGATGCCCAAGAGAGATCCTGTCTCATGGGTCGTGATGATAAAACGCTACGCCGCTGATGGGAACCTGGATCAAGCCCAGGAACTGTTTGATCGAATGCCCGAGAAGAATGTAGTGGCATGGACTGTGATGGTTACCGCACTTGCCCAGAAAGGGGAATTTGATCGTGCGAAAGAGTTGTTTGATAGGATGCCTGAGAGAAATCCGGTTTCTTGGGGTGCTCTGATATCGGCTTACGCAGCGCACAACCGGCTGGAAGAAGCGAAGCGCTTGTTTGATGCGATGGAGAAACCAAACATTCACGTCTACACTGTGATGATCACTGCGTATGCCAAAGCCGGAGAAATTGCAAATGCGGAGAGGATGTTTGCTCTCATGCCTGAGAAGGACTTAGTCGCTCAAACTACAATGCTGCAAGCGTTTTCTCACAATGGTCTTGTCGAAAAGGCAAGGAAGATCTTTGATGTAATCCTGGACAAGGATGAAATGGCTTGGAACGCTATGATCACTGCATATGCCCAAAATGGAGAAGCATTTCGTGCAAAGCAAGTGTTTGATTCCATGCCCGCAACGAGACGAAACATCGTCACTTGGAACTCGATGCTCTCGGCGTTTAATCTCAATGGCCATCCTCACCGAGCTCTGGAGCTGCTGAAAACCATGCAGCTCGAGAGGATCAAACCAAACGAGATAACTTTCATCGCAGCGCTGGGAGCCTGCGCTGATGCTGGCGAGCTCGAAACCGGACGAGCGCTCCACGTCGAGGTCATCGATCGAGGCCTCGACCGCGACCAACGCATCCAGGTCTCGCTGGTGAGCATGTATGGGAAATGCCGCAGCCTGGTGGACGCCGTCACAGTCTTCGATCAAACCCGAGCGAGCCTCCGCGACGCTGTTTGCTGGACTGCGATGATCACGGCCTTTGGAGAGAACCACCACTGCCGCGAGGCCATCCAAGCTCTCGCTGGAATGGACTTGGAAGGCGTGCAAGCCAACCATGTCACCTTCGTCGGCCTCGTCAATGGGGTCACTTCTCTCGGAGAAGCCAAGCTTGTCCACGAGGAGATCATCCAGGCGAGCCTCCACTCTCAGAAGCTTGACACTGCTCTCGTCCAGATGTTCACGAAGTGTGGATCACTGCCCAGTGCCGAGGCTGTCTTCTGGCAAATCCCTCCACTCCAGAGGGACGTAGCTTCTTACGACGCCATGGTCTCGGCCTATGCTCAAGCTGGCGAGTCCCAGGCGGCCATCCGGACTTTCGAGCTCATGCTGTTGGAGGGCGGCGCTGCGGCGGACGAAATCGTGTTTGTGAGCGTGCTCTCGGTCTGTAGCCATGCCGGAATGCTGAGTAGAGGACTCGAGCTCTTCCGGAGCATGCAGGAGGACTTTGGTTTGAGGCCGAGCGTGGATCACTTTGTGTGCGTGGTGGATCTGCTGGGACGGTCGGGGCAGCTTCAGCTAGCGCAGGAGCTCGTCGATGTCATGCCGTTTGAGCCCGGTCCCGTGCCTTGGACGATCCTGCTCGACTCGAGCAACAAAGTTTGCGACGGGAGCGAGCGGCAGGCCTCGGTTGCGGCCGAGAGGACGCTCCAACTGGAGCCCGAGGTCTCTGCTTCGTACGTGCTCTCTAGCTCGTCTTCCATGAGGAAGTTCTCGTCGAGCTAGCTCGGCACCATCTTTGTGAATGTGAAACGCAAGTTTGGATTAGAAAAATCGAATGGAACAACACAGTAAGGTCTTATTTCTTCTGTCAGTGAAACCTGTCAAGTTCTCACGCATAGAACCAGTAGATTGATGTGTATGGCGATCTAAATCTTTCACCATTTTTGCCAGGATTGATGGGTGGCAAACCTCCACGCGTGGACAACCGCTCGATCCTCGTAGCACGCGCTATTCCTTCCCTGAAAGTGGAAACTCTTAGAATCTTAACTCGCAGATAGAAAACTTACGGCTCTCCGCTGCTGCTGGTCCTCTCTAGACGAAGCACCGGAACACTCGAGTTGTCGTTTGAAACTTTCTCGGTCACTTTGCCAGTCACACGACTGTAAGTCGGAGAGTAGATGGTCCAAGTCGGCTGTCCGCCGCTCGCATCAGCTCGAGGAAGGAAATAGTGACTCCCAACAATCTCTCCTCCGGGAACAGAGCTCAGGGAGGCCGAGGCTCCCTTTAGAACCCAGGAAGAATTCTCGTAAGTGTAGAGCTGGTATCCCTCGCCAAAGTAGGATGCCACGACCTTGGTACTGTTGCTTGTTGCGTTTGAAAGGCCCGAAGCGGCAGGCCTCCTGAGCTGGGTGAAGAATGCGTACTCGCTCTCGTAGTCCACGGCTAGAGTGTCTCCCGCTTTGGTGCAAAGGTTGGCCGCAGGAGCCACTCCTCCACTCACTGGATATCGCTGGATATAAGAAATGCCTGTGTGTCCACTGAAAGAAGTAACTTGGAGGAGCAGTGCATCGATGTTTCCGGCTGATGGAGTTTTGTCCAGCACTTTGCCTGGCAGAAAACAACGAAAGAAAAAACATATAAAAACCACAAAGCACAGCAAAAGATAGAACAAGCGACAAGGTACCTGTGACTGTGAGCGATGGAGTCGCAGAGTCTGGATCTCCAGGATTTCTAAACAGCGACCAGGACGGTCGTCCACCTTTGGCATCTGGAAACTGGAGGAAATAGTGGACTCCAATTCGCCGCGTATAGTTCTTGTCCGAGGTGTAGAACAAATCCGCCCAAGCAACGTCGAACTCCCAGGACTTGGACGCAGCATTGCAAGCGTAGAGCTGCTTGCCACGGCCTCTCACCCGGAGGTACGCGCTGGAATCCACCCAGAGAAACAAAGTTTAGCATTCGAAAGAAAAAAAACTCCTACGATCAACATAAACATAGAGAGAAGCAATGAGGAAGCATTGATGCATACTAATTTCCTGGAGGAGGTGCCGCTGGATCGGCCACAGCAATCGCCACAAGACATGCTAGAGCTAGAAATCTCGCAAAGAACACCATCTTTGAATGTTTACCTGGAAAGAATGCGAGCTCGGCAAGGTTATCTAGGCCTCATGCGCAGACAAATCCGAGAATAGGAGAACCCGCGAAGGTTGAAGCGCGTCCAGACAAGGATCCAGTGTGTAATATCTTTGGAATTGCCAACTGATCGTGGCACTCCTTCGGAAGAACCCTAAAAATATTGAAGGTAAATAATTGCGTTTTTTACCGAGATAAAGTATAATTATACCTGTTTCACTTAATTCAAAATTTAAAAACGTGCTGATGCAATTTTTAACATATTACCCATTTCTGATATAAATAATTTACACATAATTTTTATTTTAATTATAGATCGGTATATTGGCTAAATATATCACGTATAAATTTAGATTATAAAACAATCTATTTATCTATCTATCTATCTATATCAGCAACCTAATTAAGGATGTAATTGCTAAGTATATTTTGCATATCCCAAGATAATTTACCACTTTCTCAGCATGTTTGCAGAACATACTAAGAAAGCTGCATCTATTTCAACTTTTCATTTGTATTTACCCCTAGCAACAAATTTAGAAGTTTATCTATAAACAATTTGGCTATCGTCTCTCATGAGAAACTGAAGTTTGTCACATACCTGACCTTTCCGGGCACCTCAGTAAAGTTTGGGACCAAACCTCTTGAGAATATTCTTCCAAAAGCCCTATTGTCCATGGCGCTTTTGGAGCTCCTCAAGGTATGTGATGGTTTTACCGCAGTGCTGGGCTTCAGTTGGATTGTCAGGGGCGAGGGATTTCTTTGGAGGAGATCTCTCGAGCGAGCGGTGACAAGGTATGGTGGCATTTGTGGTATAGTGGCAATATTCCGACTGGGTAATGCTTCTAGGCAGCGAGCAATGACTCGGGCACGAAAAATCTCCTTCTCAAAGTATGTGTCGTCTTTTATGAAGTTTTGGTCTCCTTGATGCGGGGATTTTCCAGGACAAGAAGAGTAGAATGTTTCTCATCTCTTGCAAGCAGTCGACAAACTTGGACCTCAAAGGTGAGAAAATGCTCGCGTTTTTTTGCGTGCTCACTGTGATTTTTTTTTCTTTCCTTTTGAAGCACTGAGCATTCGTCTTGGCGTTGGGAAGGGCGGAGTTCGATTTGCTCCAGAGGAAAATGTTGTGGAGTTACTGGGAGTTCCTCCAACGCTTGTTTCGCCATTTGTTCTCACCACTGAAAGGTATGAGCGGCTACACTGTTTTTGGCGATGGTGCTTTTCAATCCCCCTGACTTGGTTTTGAGCAGCTCTATAGTTCTACTACTGGATGAAAAGTTCGAGACCTCATCACGACTCATCTTTCCTGTCGCTGATGAACTAAGCATCGGTAAGTTTTCCTAAGTTCTCTCTGCATCTCAGGAACTATCTCTTCCTTCTGTATTATAGCCGTGACTCGGGCTTCGCTGGAACAGTTCCTAGAATCGATCGGCAAAACTCCTATCTACGTTGATCTGGAGGTGAGCTTGAGTTTGAATCGGAGTGATGATCTTCATACTTGCTCTAGGCTGCTCTTCAAGCTGGAAAAGACCAAGCAGATCTTTCCGTCTATGTTCCAAGTAAAAAGGAGTCATCAACGGAAGGGATGCCAAGTAACACTGAGTTCATAGTTTTCTCAATACTGACTTCACAGCGGCAGATGGAACTGGCAGCGAATTGAGAAAACCGTCCAGCGAATCAAAATCAAAAGAAAAGCCTGCTGCGATTGTAAGAGGTAAGAGCAAAACTCTTCGAATTCTCTTGGTTTTGCATTCTCCCGAGTTCTTAAAACCAGGCGACGAGTCCAGGAGAACAGACTTTGCGAGTACAGAGGCTCTATCATCGCTAATCTTGAGCACAATCGCGTCTAAAGCTCTGGAGAAATCGGACAAGGAGACTTGGGAGGCGATCGAAAAGGGAGTAAAACCGGAGCTGGAAAATCTCTTGGTAAGCATCTCTTGTTCGTTCTTTTTCTTTCCTTTCATGCCGTTCTATCTTGCTAACAGTGTAGCGTCCTCCCAGGTTATGTTCAAGAACACGGCGTTCACAGAAGGCTTTCTAGCTGCGCGAAGCGCGCGTTTGATATAAGCTGTGGTTTTGTTTAAAATGCCATTGAATTAAACTCCGTGTTAAACCTTTAGGGTTTTAGGGCTCGAGTAATCCATCCTATGAGAGGAGGGGATGGAGCGCGGGAGGCCGAGCTGCTAAAGCGCTGGAAGACGATCGAGGAGGAGGAGGATGACGATCGGTACCGGCGCCTCAAGGAATCCTGGTACGGCGTGTGATTTTGTCGAAGAATGCGGCCCCTTTCACTCCCCCTTTGAAATCGCCTCAGGTTCGCCGATGCGTTTGAGTTCCTCAAGAAGCTCCCGGCGGATCGGCATTGCTGGTGCCATCACCGGGACGTCTCGATGCCGCTGCTCGAGACGTTTCACGCATATTTCAAGAGCGCGGATGAAAATCTCTCGATCAAAGTGCTCTGGAAGAGGCTTTCTTCCGAGCTCAGTGTTTGCACGAGCTGCGTCGTCCAGTACTACCAGGTGAAAGAACACTATCGGAATGAGTACATGGACGCTGTCGTCAAGCCGATCCTTGCCGTGTTGCTGACACTTGACAAGCAGAGAGTGATCTCGTCCATGCAAAGCTCTGTCAAGACCGGTGATGAAAGAAGCGTTGCATGTCTCCTCTACGAGGTGAATTTTTCATTCTTTGTCCCTGTTCTTCTTTTCTCACTCTTTCTTTTGCAGCTTTTTATGTATCCTGAGCTTCTCGATGACTCCGACCTGAACGAAGGTCTTGTCCAGTTCATGCGCTACGTCTCCGACACTCACGAGCTCCAATTCGCCACGGACAGAAAGTATCCGGTATGTGAGAGTATCCGGCACTGTGTTTTTTTTTTTAGTTCTTTCAACTTACGCTCTTCTCAGGGCTTGTGTGCGCTACTATTTCACAGCAGCCAAGTGGTACGAGGAGTCGCCTATAACCTTGCGACGACACTGGAACCCTTCAAAAACGCCGAAGAACTGGAAGTTGTTCAGCCACTCCTCGAAAAACGTATGAAGTTTCTGGAATCACCATCACCTGTAAATGCCATCGTGGGAGTGACCTTTGAGTCTCTGTGGCAGGGGCTAAAGAGCATGTAAGTTGAACTTTGTCTCATGATCATTGTTAACTGTTTCATTCATTTCTCTCTGTCAAGATAGATTGCATCGCCTCGAAGCACCCGCGATTGAAGACGGTATCATGGAAAGTTATCCATTATTCCTCGGTGTCGTTCTCAACTACGTGAGTGAAAGTGGCAGCACCGTTTTCTGGAACGCCCTCTGCTGCCTTAAAACACTCCTGAAAGTTCTCGGTACAAACATTCTGTGGTTTTGTTCTTGTGCTAACCTCTGTGGCCAGGATTGAAACTGTGGCTAAAAAGCTCTTTTACTCCTTCCGTATTGCGGAACACTCTTCTCAGCCAGTGCTTTCATGTTAAAGATGAAAAAATCCACAAGGAAGTTTTTGATATTTTTGAGTTCTTCCTACAGGTACTGTTGCCTTTCTAAATCCCCCAACCTTTCTAATAGCAGGGGAAATTCAGTCTTTAGAGGCCCTTCAAGACGGACAGTATGAAAGGCAACGGCGGTATCTTCTCTATTTTCTTCTTCAACAAGTGCCATTTAGCAGCAACTTTAGCCCGTTGACCAAGAAACTTGGCTCAAAGGTTCGAAAATCGACGTGTTTTCTTACTTTATCATTCTCAAGTAATGACAGGTTGCATTCGATATTGTGGCACGGAGTTACAAGATGGAGCCGCCTTTGCCTCCGTTCGATTGTGCACATTTCTGGTACGTCTTTTTTTTTTTTCTTTTGTTTTCTTCGTTTTGACCTCGTCGCAGGGGTCCTTCGTTACTAGCATCTATTAAGGACACTGAGCTACCTCTGCAATATCGTCAATCTGCTCTAAATCTTACCGGTATTTTACTCGTTGCGGATGCTGCTGCCTTATCCGCTTTGTATTGCAAAGTACGGCCGTCGAAAGAAGAAGACGCGGGTGCGGAAGGATTTTCCTGGCAGAGCTTCATTCAACAAGTTGAATCAGAAAGTGATAACTGGTACTGCGTCCCTCTTATATGGATTGGAGCGTTGGAAACTACAGCGCCTTCCGTTTTTTCATCTTCGCTCTTGAAGGCTTTTCTCTGGGCAGCTTCACGTTTATCCATTTTTGAAGTCAATGTGGCGGCTACAACAGGTTCTGCAGCTTTCTCTGCTTCACTGCACTGGCAAATTCCGACGGGGTGTGATGATGGGAGCGATGGTAAAGGATGTCTTAATGCCATGAAAGCTAGCAGTAATTTCCGGATGTTGATCAATGTCTTCAAAAGGTATTTAGGCTCAATTTGTCACGCTTTTTAATTTTTTGATATTTGTCTGTAGATGCACAGATTCGTTTGGACATAAATTCCGGGCTGATGGAATTTTCGTTGACTGGCAATGGGAGCCGACGATGGCCGAGTGCTTTATTTTGCTGCTGATGAACTCATCTGTGGTAAGATCTAGTTGCCTGTCTGAGTTTCTTCTCATTAATCTCTTTAGGATTTGCGTATGGTGGCCAAAGATATACTTCAACAGTTTTCCAAGGATAACGGCCTTGATTCTGTGATTCATTTCTTTTGCAAAAGTGAGGAAGCGCTAGACTACATTATCCGCGGATTCAGTCATGCTGTCAAGTTTGTAAGTTCATTCCGTAAGATTTTGTCACGAGTCCTGATCAATTTTTGCAGTTAAGCGTTGAGCCTTATGGACATTGTTCGTCGCGACAACACGTTTATTTTCTTGGGACAAGGTTTCTTAGTTTTGGCTCGCAAGTATTTTCTCGGAAGCTCTCTACTTTGCTGTGGCCATCACTAGTAAACGCCATCATTCACGGACAACAATGTCTCCCAGTCACTGGATACGAGGTAATCCGGCCTTTTCACAACATATATTGTTCATATGTTTTCTTAGGCAAGTTGCTCTCGTTTATTCGATCTGCTTCCACTAGTTTTCAAGTACACGATACCGTCGGCTGAACTGAAGCTGTGGAATGTAAGCTCTAATATGGACAGTCCTTCCTGGTTCCGAAGTCTTCTTGCATGGAGCAGCACACCTTTTCCCAGCATTCGCAGGCGTTATATCGAGGCACTTGTATCTATACTAGAAGATCTAGCTCGTGGGGGAGTATCTCAGAGTAAAGAAATTAAAGAGTTACTACAACCAGGTTTTATTTTTCTGTACTCAAGCTATCCAACATTCTGACATTTTTCTTACGTTTCCAGGCTCTGTGCTAGAGAACGAGGAGAGGGAGAGGCTACTCTTATTGTTTTCATCCAATGCACATGAACTCGAAAGTCTGAAGTCCGATACTAAGGCAGGGGCGGAAGTTGTACTTCTCAGTAGCGATGAGGAGGCAAAGCCGGTTGTTTCTAAGAAGGGGCCCGATGTCCAAGCTGAACCAGGGCCTTCAGGACGTCAACATAAAAGGCCTGCGGTACGAAAGGTGGCAAGCCAAACTCTGCATAGAAGAGAGGACTTAAACAAACAGAAGCAGTATGAGCCTCGTCAAAGTCACGGAGAGATGGATATCCGGAACCTTTTGGGCAAAAACTTGAACAAGCTCGCTTCGCAACCACAGGTAAAGTTCAGCCGTTTGCGCCAGCATGATCTATCTTTGTCCTTGCGTATGTCTGAGCAGCAACTTACGACTATGGAACCACCAACCAAGCCCGTCGAGATGGAGAAGCAAGCTAAGCCTATACAACAGGTGCACCAAGTTAGCCCTGCTGAGCGGAAGCAGCAAAGGCCGATTGAACCGGTGTTACCAGCTGAAGCGAAAAATGCTGACGACATGAGCAAACTTCTCAATGATCTCGTTAGTGAGGATGAGGTTTCCAAGAAGCAGCGTGCACCTTTAATGTCAACAGCACCAAAAGAGAGACGGAAGCTGATGAAGATCGACATGCCTGTACCCGATGCACAGCTGAAACCTTCAATTTTGCCAAGAAACAAACGTCGTCCAGGAAAACCTCCGCCACCGAAGATGGACGAGTGGCTTATGCGGATCTTAAGTCTGGACCTGTTTGCTGACAACGAAGACCCGCCTGACCTGGTGAAGGTTCCCCTGAGTTTTAGAAACGTTGAGCAGTACATGGAAGTCTTTCGGCCGCTACTCATAGAGGAGTTTCGAGCACAACTTCATCGTGCTCGCGACGAGTTTAACGCAGATGATACAGAGAAAGTGGGGATGGTTCATCTTATGAGCTTGGAACGTGTTGACAACCTTCACGTGGCACGGTTTAAGTCAGAAGCTGGAAAAGTCGGTGCATCTTCAGCTTGCACTGAGAACGATTTGCTGCTTATAAGCAAGAAGCCTTTTCTAGAATGCCCAGGGAGCGTGCATCTACTGGGAAAGGTACTTTCGTGTTCTCTTTTGCATTGTTTTGCTCACATTCGGCAAACGCAGGTGGATCGTCGAGATAAAGATGTTTTCAGTGCGAAGCTCTTCTTGCCTCCAAACAACGAGAAGCTTTTTAAGTTAAAGAGCGTGCTTCACATTCGCAGTACATGGCACATAACTCGGCTCATGAACATCACGCCGCAAGTTCGGGAATTTCAGGCCGTCTCTGCACTGTCATCTTCGCCATTATTGGAAGCTATACTGTCACCCGCCGCGTCTGATCAGCATTCAGGTAGACCTGTTCCGCTACCGGAGAAACTGTGGCGAAAGCTCAAAGAAGATTACAATGAGAGTCAATTATCAGCTATAAAAGCCAGCTTAGGAGATAGCCGGAAAGATCAGCACGAAATCTCTCTAGTTCAGGGGCCACCAGGTGAGGAAAGCTTTGTTTTCTTTTGGTTGTAACATATGTGTGTTTGCAGGTACAGGAAAGACCCGAACTATAGTTGCTATTGTCAGCGCACTATTACATAGTCGTGAAAGCAACGAGGACGTTTGCCGTACTTCTGGAAATCAGAGACTTAGCCACCATGCAGCGGTTGCTAGCTCCTGGCAAGCGATGGCTTATGCAAAGCAGATTGAACGTGATCAACTTGCCCCGACGAAGGCAAAGGCGAGGGTTCTTGTTTGTGCACAGTCAAATGCAGCTGTCGACGAGCTAGTTGGTCGACTTCGTGAGATATACAGTCCAACAGGCCAGCTTTACAGGCCCAAACTTGTGCGTACTGGGAATGCAAGACTGGTGCATCCTGATTCAGTGCCGGTTTTTATCGACACGCTCATCAAAGAGGACGCCGACACTAGCCAGGAGGATTCTGCTCAGGAACTGGTTTCCAAGCTGGAACAGGTCACAGAAAAGATAAATGAGATTCTTCGTCGGAAGTCTGAAGGTGTTCATGACGACTCGCTGATGGCAAAGCTGACGCAGTTGGAGCAGCAGAAGAACGATCTTAATCTGGATATTCGTAAATCTAGAAAGACTTTCGAGATCAGCAAGGAGAGGAGAAGAAAGCTGAAAAACCAGAACATCCGGGACGCCGACATTGTGTTGACGACACTGGGTGGCTGTGGAGGAGATGTATATGCTGCGTGCATGGATACCTCGGAAAAGGATACTGAACTCTTTTTCGATGCTGTTGTGATTGACGAAGCTGGACAGGTAAAGTAAGCAGTCAGACGGGGTTCTCTAAGTGTTTTCTGTTCTTACACAGGCGCTGGAACCAGCTAGTTTGATTCCCTTACAGTTTCTGGGAGGCAATCACGGAAGATGTGTCCTGGTACTGGTTTTTTGTCATTGCTTGCCTGTAATAACAAGTTTTTTTGCTTTATGATCAGGTAGGAGATCCCAAGCAGCTTCCAGCAACAGTCTTATCACAAGCGGCAAGCAGCGTATGCTACGAGCGCAGCATGTTTGAACGCTTCCAGAAGAACGGCTATCCGGTGACGATGCTTAGTACACAGGTAAAATTCGGCATGGTATGTTTCGTTGCAACATTCTGTTAAATTTGGGATGCTTTACAGTACCGAATGCATCCGGACATTCGAAAGTTTCCATCTTCGTATTTTTACAACAATCAGCTCGTCGATGGAGCGAGCGTTTTGGGGGACAAGAGACGCGCAAGCTTTCACAATGACAGGTGATAAACATTTAAACTTCTTCACATCTTGAAGTTTTCCTATCACAGGTTTTTTCGACCATACACCTTCTTCGACGTCATCGATGGACAAGAGAGGGCTGGCGGGTCATCAGTTGGAAACGTGGACGAAGTTGACGTCGCGGTCAAGCTGTATGAACGGTTCCAAGCGAAGTATATTTGCGTTTGTGGTATAATGCATGGATAGAAATAATGAGTGAGATCTGCAGGTATCCTCAAGAGATCCAACCTGGACGCATAGGAGTGATTACTCCTTATAAGCAGCAGCTCAATATGCTGAAGCGAGCTTTCCAACGTTTCGGCGAGAAAATTTCATCGATTTTGGAGTTCAACACCATCGATGGCTTTCAAGGTCGGGAGGTGGATATTCTCATTCTCTCTACCGTGCGGGCCTCTTTGGAACCAAAAGGCATCGGCTTTGTAGCGGATATCCGGCGGATGAACGTGGCGCTAACTCGTCCGAGGTTCTCCTTGTGGATAATCGGTAGTGCCATGGCCCTTCGAAGCAATCGGGCTTGGGCTGCTCTACTCGAAGATGCTACGTCAAGGGGGGCGGTGTACCCAATACAAAAGCCATACAGCAAAGCGTTTAACTGTCGGGGCGACCAGAATATAACCCGAGACGTGGACCCGATGGTGCAAGGTGGTGGTGGTACGTCCTCTAGGAAAAGACCAGGAGAGCAAACTGGAAGCTTCAGGGACAAGAAAAAACAGAAGAGAGGTGAAGAAGTGGCGAAACCTCCGAGAGGTATCAAGATTTTGGACGAAGCTCCAGACACTTGCAAGCAGGAACTCCACAAGAAAGCAAGAGCTTCTGCAAGTTTGGACAATCGAGAGCATGGAAGTAGCAGTAGACGGGTGTCGGCTAACCAGTCGGAGGGGGGTGCCAAAGTTTTGCAGGATAACAGACAGAGAGATGGCCGGCGAGCCGTAGATAGCACGGTTTTGGAAACTCGGCCTGAAAGTTGTGAACAGAATCGCGACAGGCAAAGTGTTGAAGATCAGAGGCAGAATAAAGTCGAAGACAAGAGGCCTCCCGTTCCTTCATCAAAGCAGCAGCAATCGGGTCCAGCTAGGAAACACATCGACGCGAATGAGACCAAGAGGAAGGGCAGAGAAGAAGTTCTTGCGCTCTTGTCAGGCTCGTTGTTCGACTCCAAGAGACCAGGTTCGCTTCGTTTTCTATGGCTCCTTGTTCTTTTTCCTTTGCGATCCATCGCTGATTCTAAGCTCGCAGATCTATCATCTCGACAGGCCAGCAGAAGCGTCGCTCCTCCAAAGAGGCCATCGGATTTGCCAAAGAAGCCGAGAGAGAAGAACTGACGAAGCTGGGATTATTCGCATTGCTCGCTCGCCGCGCGTGTACAGAAGAAGAAGACAAGAACTGTACATATATAACAGTAGGAGGTCAGCTGAACAGCGGTTGGCATCTTCCAGGCCCGTGGGATAGGATATTCGCAGCGCTGGAGGCTCGCCATTGGTTGGACGGTGCGAGCGCCACAGCTGTGCCACGTGCTGCAATTTTGCTGAACGGATATATACGTACGAGTGGGCCACGATGGCGACAGGTGGCGGGGCCCGGTGACTTTTTTATTTTATTTTCCTCTCATGACGCGACGCCCCCAGGAAATTTTGGGAGTGATCGTACGGCCGGTGGCGGGCCAGCTGGAACCCATCTTGTCGAGAAATGCGGGCCGTTAGCCAGCAACGGTCGAGATGAAGGTGTCGTGGTGGAATATTCGTTTCTATGATTCGAATTTAAAGTTTTGGGCGTAATCACGCTAAAATGCCAAACACAAAGACGGCCGTCTAACGAATGGGAGGAGAGGGGCGGCGAGAGTGGACCATTGCGAGATTTTGATGGCTCTGGGCTTCTACAGAGCTACTGGCGAGAGGGCTAAAGGGATAGATCCAAGCCCAGCACTGTAGTGTCTTCCTCTCTTCCTTTTTTTTTTTTTTCTCTTCGCGCGCTATAGAACAAGCTAAAGACAGTAGAAAGACGGTGTGCTTGGCCTTCCTTGGTCCCCCCACTTTGGGTTTGTATATAAGATTTCCCTTTCGGCCAGTTCTAGTGGTACCAAGCAAAGTTAGTGGTCCTCTAGAAGAAAAAGTAGAGAGAGCTATCATCAAGGCGATCATCCAAGCAAAGAGAAAGAAAAGAGAGCTTTTGGCTATGGAGGAGTAGACACTGTGGAAGAAACACTATAGGACAGTGGGACCTCTCCCTCTACGTTAAAAGAAAGACGCTTTGCTTTGCGTTGCGTAAGTAGGATTACGACCAGTATCCTTCCTTATCTCTCTTCTTTTCTCCAGACACTTCTAAGCTCTCGGGTGTCTTGAGGAGCTCTTCGAAGTTCTTGCTTGTCCGAGAGTTCTTTCTCCTTGCTCCAGAGCTCCTGGGTGGATCGATCATCGTCCATGGAGGGTAACAGGGAAGACGTCCATGTTGGTGTGGCCAAGTACCCCGAGCGCGAGCTGGGAACCTCGGCGCAGGCCGAGAAGGATTATGTGGAGCCGCCCCCGACGCGCCTCATCGAGCCGTCCGAGTTCTCCTCGTGGTCCTTTTGGCGCGCCGGCATAGCCGAGTTCTTCGCCACTTTCCTCTTTCTCTACATCACTATTCTCACGGTTGTGGGAAATGTCGATCGCACCAGCTGCCTTGGAGTGGGCATCCAGGGCATCGCGTGGGCTTTTGGGGGCATGATCTTTGCTCTCGTCTACTGCACTGCTGGAATCTCAGGTACCAAGATGAGTTTTTTTGTTTCCTGTGAGGTGTGGTGTTCGAGCTAAAGTTTGTTCTTGCGAAACTTTATCTCGGGTGTGGTGTTGTCCCGAAACTTTGGTGCTGCTCTAGCTAAAGTTTCGCGAGTTCTAGTGTTCCAGCGAAAGTTCTCGTGCGAGACTGGAAACCATAGCTAAAAGCTTGACATGTTTTGTTTTTTTCAGGTGGACACATCAATCCCGCGGTGACTTTCGGCCTCTTCCTGGCTCGGAAGGTGTCGCTGCCTCGAACGCTGCTCTACATGGTTGCGCAGTGCCTGGGGGCGATTTGCGGGGCTGGAGTCGTCAAAGGCTTCCAAAAGGCAAAGTTCAACGCCGCGGGAGGAGGAGCCAACTATGTCCACCACGGCTACACCATTGGAGATGGTCTTGGAGCTGAGATTGTTGGTACCTTCGTTCTCGTCTACACGGTCTTCTCCGCCACTGATGCCAAGAGAAGTGCCAGAGACTCCCATGTCCCGGTACGTTTCTTCTTCCATCCAAAGCTTTGGTTGATTCCCCTCTCATGAAGTTTTGCTTTTCTTCTTCTTATCTTCTTGTGTGGTTTTCCTAGTTTTTCTTGCTGTACTTCCTCTTATCTTCTCCTTATCTCTTCTCCTCCTCATGGATAGATTTAAGATATGTTCCAAGCTCACAAACTTTGGCGATTTCTACAGCTTTTGGCTCCACTTCCAATCGGGTTTGCGGTGTTCCTCGTCCACCTTGCCACGATCCCCATCACTGGCACGGGCATCAACCCAGCGCGAAGTCTCGGCTCGGCTGTCATCTACAATGGCGACCAGGCCTGGGATGATCATGTAAGATCACTTTACTCTTTGAATTTTTCGCTCTTCTTTTAAGTTCTAACTTGTTGGTGCATCGTCTGTGTGTAAGCAGTGGATCTTCTGGGTCGGTCCTCTGATTGGAGCAGCCCTTGCAGCCTTCTACCACCAGTTCGTCATTCGTGCCATTCCTTTCCACTAAGAAAGAAAAAGTTGAGACCCAAGGTTTCTTCCAAAGATCGTGAGGTGAGGGTGGATTTACTTGGTGGAACTCTCTCTTGTGTGTGTATAAGCACAATCGTAGCTTTTAGTAGCTCTTTTCTCCGTCAAGGAATAAGTACGATTTCCCCTCAATCAACTGTAGAGCCCTCTCGCTTGTTATCGTTATCTCTTGGAAACCAGGACATCGTCAGTTCATGCGCAAGGTGGTACAACAATAGAAAATCCTGTTTAAATAAAAAATTTGTTTAAAGTCCTAATAGAGCAATTGAGATAACTGTTTATAAAGGTTATTAGAACCCATCTGATTTGGAGTTAGGATATCTCCATCTGCTTTAATTTCTAATGATTAATACAAAATTATTCAGTGTAAATTCTTGATTTTCTTGCCTATTTATTTTCAATTTATTCTTAAGGTAAATATAAATTACACAGTTTATTTATTTATTAGATTTATAGCTTATTAAAAAGAAATTCACTCATCTAGGGTGAAGGTGGAGGATACATTTTATAAGATGGAGGGGGAGGAGGATGCGTAGGGGGAAATTCTGGAAAAAATTCTGGCACATTTGGGCTTTCTGTGCTAGGTGGTCCATTTTTTCGTGTACCACCACAAATATGAGTGTGTAAATCTGGATCATCATCACATATATGGTTCATACATGCAATCCTTCTGTTACAATCGTCATGGGTCTTGCAAGATTGCCCACATTTTTTAGCTTCGACAATGCATAAATAGCTAAGAAAACAATATAAAGAAAATTAGTAAATATTC